TTAATTTCATTTAGTCCTTTATGATTTGTTAGGCTGGTCTGGAGCAATGCTCAGTCTAGGGCTAATTATTCCCCACTACTGAGACAGGACTTTTCTGTGTATTTTACCCATTATCCCATGAAGTAGGTGTTTTCTCCATTCTACCTGTTGGTAGCAGTCACAGTTCCCAGCCTTGTGTGAGTGTCCAAAACTTCCCTCTAATTCTAGAAGAGGTAGAAGAGAATGGAATAATAAACAACCAAGTGAGAATTAACCTTGGACAGGAGAAGAGAAGCAGGAAAGTTGCACTTTCTTTTCTTCATATGTACCATATAACAAGTACTTTACATGTTTTAAAGTGAAGCTTGTTAATAATTTCATTCAAGTATTATTAATTTTCATTACAGATGAGGAGATAGGGTAGAAAGGCCAGTAACTTAAGAAAACTACTTGACAGTGGCAAAGCAGACTCTAAAGCTTAAGCCTTTTCTAATGATTTATGTGTTCTCGTTGGGTTGTTTCTTCAGGGGAGGGAGAATAAAAGCTGGTGAAGATTTAGGCTGTAGTCGGACTAGGAGGAAGAAACGAGCTCTGTCACCATTGGAGTTATGTAGAGTTTACTGTAAAATTCATAACTGTTCCTAGGGTGGAAAAAATGGGCAAGAGAGGTAGATGACTGTTAATTTGTGCAGAAGCGTTGTATAAAATAGATTAGTGGGAGCAATGCTCTGAAGTCTGTTTCTGCTGTGTTCCATAAGTCTTGCTTCAGAACTCATAATACAGACTCGTACAGTAGTTACAGTTTTAGTTTTGCTCTCTTCCGTTTCAGTTATCCATGTCAACTGCAGTGTAGAAGCAGATGATCCTCTTTCTGATGTATTGTCAGAAGGTCAGTGGTAGCCTGACATTCTATCACAGTGCCTGTGTCGCTTACATCACTTCATCTGATCATACAGGCATGTTTTCATCTCACATCATTAACAGGAAGAAGATATTTAGAGAGAGACCGCATTCATTGTAGCTTTTAGGTCAGTATATTGTTATAATTTCTCTATTTTATTGTCAGTTACTGTTAATTTCTTAGTAGGCCTAATTTATAAATTAAACTTTACTATTCGTATGTATGTATAGGAAAAAACAATATATATAGGGATCGGAATCTGTGATTTCAAGCATCCACTGGGGATCTTAGGACATATTCCTTGTAGATAGGGGGAGTGGGCATGGGGGCTACTACTTTTTTTTTTTTTTGCATTTTTATTTTTTATACACAAATAGGAAACTCAGTAAGTAACTTGGTCAAAAGATTTAATTCATTGGGTATGATTAGAAGATAAATAGTCTAAAAAGTGACCTTTGTAAGTTAACATTTAATGTTCTTTGCCTCCATCCCTATTTTTTCTTAAAGTACTATACTTTGCTTCTGTTGGTATTAGAATGAATCATATTTAATTGGGTCAAATGAGTTGAATATTGGCAATTTCATGTGGTTCAACATAATAGTATATTTTGAAAGGACAAGAAGCAGTAACTGTAACCATTGTTAACACCATTACAAGGATCATGTGTGTTTTATACTTACTAGTATATGTCTACTGCCAAGTACAATACACATAGTAGACATTCAATAAATAATTTGTTAATGAGAAGCTATAGATTTTTGAGGTTTCATACAGGTTCTGTAAGAAATTTAGGTAAGGATTAAGGGAAATTTTCTTCTTGTCAGGTCCTAAGTTCTTTTTAAAAGACTGAAAGAGAAGAATTTTTCAGCAAAGCTCTTTTATTTCTTTCTTTTATTTTTATTTCTAATGCAAGATAATAAATAATAAAATTTTTACTACTCTGGCCTCTTAGCCTTCTGTTAAAGAGGTTCCCCTTCTTCCACCAAATCCAAGAACCCAGCAGAGATTTAATATTCCTTGCTCTCCAACTCCTTTTTTGGGAGGCTCTCTACTACTTTTGCCTTTCAGTTGCTCTCTCTCCTTTCATAAACTCAAGGTGGTTGACATGAAAAATGCAATGATAACTTCTCCTTTCTCATTTGAGGCTAGAAATGCAGCTTTTTTTCTGTGCATTAACAGCTTTTACAAACGATTTAGTATGTAATATGCCCAATGCTCATTTCTGTGTCCAAATAACTTACATAAATTATCTTGTTAGAATACAACAAAGACTTAGACTATATCATAGTCCCCTAGTAATAGTTTTCCAGATCCTTATCTTCACAGATAATAAGGCAGAGGGCTAGGAAGCCTCTGGCTTGTTTGGGATCGCCCGGGGTCTTTAGCACAAATATGAAGTAAATGTATTTGTCATGTTATTCTCTGGTATTACTGCTTTGGGCCATTATTTTATTATGCACATTTCTTGCAGTATTGAGTTTCATCCACACAGTGGTGCTAGAAAACCAAGAATTGATTATTGTTTCTCTCCTAATCAGTGGAATAAGTACTTATAACTGTTCCTTACAAAATAAATATTTCTTTGAATCATATAATAGCAATTTCCTCAACCTTCATCAGATCCATAACAAAGTTTATAATGATTTTACTCCTGTGATACCTCTAAACTTTAGTTATCCTTTACCAAGATGACTGCAGTAACTTCCTAATGAATCTTTCTGGTGTAAACCTTAAAAATAAAACAGCTGGGGCATCTGGGTGGCTTGGTCACTTAAGCATCCATCTTCCACTCAGGTCATGATTTTGTGGTTTGTGAGTTGAAGCCCTGTGTTGGGCTCTAAGCTGACAGCTCAAAGCCTGGAGCCTGCTTTGGATTCTGGTGCGCTCTCGCTCTCTCTCTCTCTCTCTCTCTCTCTGCCCTTCCCCCACTCATGCTCTGTCTCTCTCTGTCTCTCAAAAATAAATAAACATTAAAAAAAATAAAAATAAAGCAGACAAGTTATTTTATCAGCAAAATGGATTTATTTGAGATTATTAGAGATTTGGAATTCGGGACATGCAGGCTTTGGCAAAACCATAGGCAAGTCCAGCAAACAAAGGAGAATGTTACTTTATGGAGAAAAAGGAGGAAGTTGGGAGGGATTGTTTTGAATCTCCAATGTTTTGTCCATTGGAGAACAGCAAAAGTACAGGGTAATGTTGATTTCTCATTAGCTAAGTTATAGGAGTAGTCCCATTTTTTTGTAGGAGATGCAATGTATATTTTTTCCCTCTTGGGGCTTGTAATTGAGGATTCTTCCTATTGAATATTATTCTGTTGGGGTCTGCAAGTGCCAATTCTTCCTGTAATTGATGTTGAGTGGTAGGGTCCCCCTGCTATCCTCCCTTCTGTACTTCTAGTGAGGCTTCCCTTTATTATATTTAGTGTATTTTACCTTGCTTTGCTTTCGTCTGTTTTACATACTGTACTTAGAAGTAATCTTTTATAAATTTGAATCTGAACTGTACTCTTCTGCTTAAAAACTCTTAAATGAATTACAATTAAGTTTACCAGTAAATAAAGACAAGGTCTTTCATGACCCAATTTCTGCCTAGTTCTCTAGCTATTTACCTATAGCCTTTTCTTGTATGAATCTCCATAGTGCTTTGTAGTTCAGCCATCTTTTGGTTTCTTTGAACACAAGTTTTTCCTCCTAGTTTTGCCTGTTTTTCCTTTTGCCTATGATAAGTAGGTGTGTGTGTGTGTGTGTGTGTGTGTGTGTGTGCATGCATGTATAGATATATTCCTTCATAAGTTACTTTACTGTTTCCTTTCTAGCTTGGGTCATATTTCTGAAAACTTTCATTAATTCCCCTTCTCCACAGATCAGTGCCCAGTGTCATTTGTTCTCATAATACTAAGTAATTTTTCTTCCAAACATTTATTACAGTTTCATTATATATTTACTTATGTAGTTATTTGACTGATGTCCATTTCCTCACTGAATCATGAGTGTTAAGGTAGATTCTGTGCTTTTTACTCATCATTGTATCATTGGTGCCTATTAAATTATGCTGAATAAATCAGTGAATGAATATAAGTCAGCCAGGCCTCAAGGCAGGTAGGTAATGGAAGTAGGAACAGATGAACATTATGGAAAGAAAAGAAAATACTTGAAATTAGAATACAGTAAGTTCAGTTTACTTTTATATTTTCTGTCAGAATAGAAATTAATTCTAGGTCATGGGCAGCCCTGAGTGGTAAGGGTTCCTATATGCATGTGAAGGAAGGAAGAATGAGATCACATTTAGCCTAATAAAATTATGGAAATTGTTAAGAGAGTAGATCATAAAAGTTCTCATCACGAGAAAAAAATTAAGTGATGGATATATTAAGTAAACTTAATGTGGTAATCATTTCACAATATGTTCATGTATCAAGTCTTTATGTTGTACACTTTAAACTTACACAATGTTATATGCCAATTATATCACAATAAAGGTGGAAAAAAGTAAAATAAAGTTATGGAGGTTGCTAATGCCCAGTGGAAAACATTGTTCTTCAGGAAACTTGGTTTCTATTCCAGATAGAATATTTTGTTCTGCCTCTTGGGAAAGATGTGATAAAACACTGGAGAAATCACCATTTGTGCTTACATTTATTTCCATAATTGTATAACAATATAATGAAAACATTCTCTTTATTTCTTGATGTGTGGAAAAGAAAAAAAAAGAATGAGATACAATAGAGGTAAAAGCATTTTAAAAACTATAAAAACTCTCCATAAAATGGACTTAATATTTGCCCCAGAGACAGAAAATCCTTCAATTTTAGAATTTCCCTGTTCTTTTCATTCAAAATTATAAAGAAGAGGTGCCTAAAAGAAAAGATGTTATGGCATGAAAAGCTCTATCTCTTACGGCCACTGTCAGGGATCATGTCAGTTTGACTCACTGCTTATCCTCTACACACAGTGCCTAGTGGGTGCCTAGAAGTTATTTTGGAATAAATAATATAGTGAATTTGTTCTGAAAGCCTCTATGATTAGCATTCTGTGATTTCTTCATCTTGTAAGCACTGCAGAAAGAAATAATCAGAAGTGAAACCTGTGATGTTTGTTTATTTTTCTTGTATTTCAGCTGTGGCAGAAGTAAAACTTCGAGATGATCAGTATACACTGGAACACATGCATGCTTTTGGAATGTACAATTATCTGCACTGTGACTCATGGTATCAAGACAGTGTCTACTACATTGATAACCTTGGGAGGGTTATGAATTTAACAGTGATGCTGGTAAGAAAAATACCTGTAATAAGAGGATTTTCCAATAAATCTGATTCTTAATTTTCATTTTTAATCTGATGTCCAGAGAATTGAGATACACATATCTTTAATCTATGGAATCTAATCATTAATCTATATAAGGCTCCATTCTGTTTAATTCAATTTTAATTTTTCCCTTTGTTTCTATCACTTATTTATTCCCTTCCACTCCCACCAATGAGCAACAGACTCTAATGGGTTTTATAGATCAATATTGATCTAGATGTTCATTTCTGCCTTTTCTAATGTAAAGTATTAACCCTTACTATGACAGTGAATTTGTTTATTTTTCTTTTTAATTCTTGCTTTTTGTATTTTTAGTCATGTTATTTGGGGTTCAAACATTTTGTCTGCTATGGATTTGTCCTTTTAGCATTATGAAACACCCCTCTTTATCTCTAGATTCTGGGAATGATTTTTGTCTTGAAATCTTCTAATATTTATACAGTGTGATAGCTTTTTTTATTAGTAGTATATTCATCTTTTTCTGTCTTTTTTTCTTTCACTTTATCAGTGTTGGTTTTAGTCTGATGCCTTACACCGCTCAGCCATCCTGACATGACGGTGTTGTTATTTTTAAAGTGCATCTCTTGTAAACAGCATACAGTTGGGCCTTGTTTTGTATCTAGCATGACAATTTGTCCTTTAAATGAAGGGCTTAGTACATTTATATTTAATGTAATTACTGATATGGTTGTGTTTATGTTACCATTTTCCTGTCTTTTCAATTTGCCCCATCTGTTCTTTGTTCTTTATCTCTCTGTTCCTACCTGTTTTGGGATTAGTCACATTTTCTTAAAATTCCATTTAATTTTCTCTTTTGGCTTTTTATCTAAACCTGTTTGTACTATTATTTTTTTTCAGTGGTTAATATAGAGATTGTAGTATTCATCCTTAAATGGTAATAGTCTGCCTCTAATATTATTTTATTATAAAAACTTTACAATAATATTTCCCTTTTACCCTTTAAGCTATTTTTGTCCTATATTTCACTTTACATATTGTAAATTCCACACTGTTAATGTATTTGCTTTAAACAGTAGAATGATAATAGCTTCCTAACTACTCTGCTCTTTCTACTACACCTCTACATTGCATCTGCAGAATCAGTCAGATTTTTTTTTAAGATTCCACATGTAAGATTCATAGGGTATTTGTCTTTTCTGACTTATTTCACTTAGCATAATGCCTCAAGTTCCATCCATATTGTCGCCAAGGACAAGTTTCATTCCTTTTTATGGCTAAATAATACATTCCATTTTTTATATATATGATACATTTTCTTTATCATTCGTCTGTTGATGGACACTTAGGTTTTTTGGTTTTGTTTTGTTTTTGTTTTTTGACTATTGTAAATAATGCTGCAGTGAACATGGGGATATATATATCTTTTTGAGTTACTGTTTTTATTTTCTTGTGATAAATACCGAGAAGTGGAATCACTGGATCATAGGGTAATTCTATTTTTAATTTTTTGAGAAACCTCCATACTGCTTTCCATAGTGGCTGCACCAATTTACATACCCACTAACAATGCATGAGGATTTCCTTTTCTCCACATTCTTTCCAAACCTTGTTACTTCTGGTCTTTTTGATACTAGCCGTTCTGGCATGTATGCCATGATAATCTCATTGTGGTTTTGATTTGCGTTTCGCTGATGATTAGTGACGTCAAGCAAGTTTTCATATACTTGTTGGCTATCTGTAGGTCTTCTTTGGAAAAATGTCTGTTCAGATCCTCTGCCCATTTTTAAAAAATGTTTATTTATTTTGAGAGAGAACGAGCATGAGAGCAGAGGAGGGGCAGAGAAAGAGTGAGAGAGAGAGAATCCAAAGCAGGCTCCATGCTGTCAACTCAGAACCTGATGTGAGGCTTAAACTTATGACCTGTTAGATCATGACCTGAGCTGAAATCCGGAGTTGGGTGCTTAACCGACTGAGCCACCCAGGCCCCACCCCCATTTTTTAATAAGATTGTTTGTGAGGTTTTTTTGGGCGGGGACGGTGGATTGCTATTGTATAAGTTCTTTATATATTTTGGATAGCTTATGGTTTGCAAATATTTTTCTCTCATTCCCTAGATTGACTTTTCATTTTGTTAATCATTTCCTTTGCTCTGCAGAAGCTTTTTAACTTGATGTAGTTTCACTCATTTATTTTTGCTTTTATTGCCTTTGCTTTTGGTGTCAAATTAAAAATATCATTGCTAAGACCAACATCAAGGAATTTACCACTTACGTTTTCTTTTGGGAGTTTTATGGCTTCAGGTTACATTCAAGTCTTTAATCCAGTTTGAGTTTATTTAAGTGTATGATATAAGATAGGGGTCCAGTTTCATTCTTTTGCATATGGCTGTCTGGTTTTCCAAAGACCATTTATTGAAGAGGCTGTCTTCTCCCTATTGAGTATTCTTGGTTCCTTTGTTGTAAATTAATTGATCATATACATGTGGTTTTATTTCTGGACTCTATTCTGTTCCATTGACTTGCACTTCCATACTGTTTTGATGATTGTAGCTTTGTAAAGTATTTTGAAATCAGGAAGCATGATGCCTCCAGCTTTGGTCCTTCTTTCTCAAGATTGCTTTTAGCTTTTTGAGGTCTTTTGTAGTTCTGTACAAATTTGAGGATTGTTGTATTTCTACCAAAACTGACATTGGAGTTTTAATTGGGATTGCATCGAATCTGTAGTTTGCTTTGGCTAGTATGGACATTTTAACGATATTGATTCTTCCAATCCATGAGAATGGAGTATCTTTCCATTTATTTGTGCTTTCTTGTAAATTCTTTTTATTGGTTTCCTGTGTGTCCTTCCAGAGGTTGCTTATTTTTTCTGTATGTCTTTTATTTTTTTAGCAAGTGTAAATACAAGGTGATATATTTTAAAAATACAAACTCCTCATCTTGGTATATACAGTTTATTGTGCTCTTCTTTCCAACCTTGTGTTTTACCATTTTGTACACTAGTCTCTAGCAATACCTGAGACATGGCCTGTACCCTGGTGTCCCCCACTCATTTCCCAGGTGATTAACTCTACCAGGAACATTCTTAGTTCTTGCCAGGTTGCTTCCCAGTCGTTACTTAGGACCTAGCAAACCATCTCTTCTATTAAGCTTTCCCTGACATCCCCCCTTTGCTCCTCTAGGAATATTCAAGCTGTTGGCTTTCAGATCTGTGTGGACTTTGAATTCCTTCTAGGCCAGAGGTTCACAAGACTTCTTCTGCATAGGGCCAGATAATAAATACTGTACAGTTTGTAGGCTAGACAGTCTTATGTCACAGCTGCTAGGTTTTGGTGTAATAGTGAGAAAACAGCATTAGGCAATATGTAAATGAATGAATGTGACTGCATTCTAAGCTCATTGACTATAGTTTGCCAACCCTTGGTCTAGGCCCTGGGTTTTTCTAATATTTCTATTATCCTGCCATCCAGCAGAAGGCTTGGTCAGTTTGTTGAAATAACAACAACTGTTTAAAGCTTGTTTTTATCCTTTTTAGTTGTCTTTGCATTCTTGATAGGATCTTCCTCTTCATATTTCTTTTCTGGGTTCAGGTATGAGTCTTTGGTTTGTTGAGAGAAATAACTTGACTGAATAAGAAATGTTTATTTTTATATATGCCTAGTAATATATTTTTATTATAGATATAAACATACATTTTACAAATATCTTGTTTATATACATTCCTCAGCAAACATTTATTGAACGCTATTATGTGCTTAGTAGCCACAAACACAAATAAATTGATTAACATGTAACAGTGGAAGTAGGGATAAGATGCAGGCATAGTATCAGAGAGGAAATGACAAATGTTGAGAGATGAAGTGTTCCAAAAAATCTCAGACGAGTTGTCACCTTACCAAAATTGTGAAGGGTCAGTTAATTTGCCATACAGGTTGAGGCAGCTGTGTTTGCACACGACTTAAGACGCACATTCAGCAAATTTCCACAGGCATGTGTGTGCACTACAGGATTGCTAAAACACAGAGTATGTATGGAAGGACCTAAATGGTATATATGCAGCTTTGGTTGGAGATGAGGATGACAAGGTGAGCAGAGGCCGGGATGTGAAGGGAGGGAGGAACAGTCATGTGTTAAGCAAAGAGAAATATTAAAAAGGAAGATTGATTCTTTGACTCATTTTAGTACTACTATGCTTGGCTGGGAGAGGGGTATGGTAGAGTCACAGTTTTAGGCCAGAAGCTTGGTTTTATCAGTCCACTTGTTGATAATCCTGATTTGGGATACTAATTCCAATTTAAATCACAAGATTGATGAGAAATGCAGAATGAAAGTTTAATGATAGCATTTGAAATACCATAAGCAGTATGAACTGGTCAATATAGTTTTATTCTCCTGATAGAAAGTTTTCATAGGAAATCAAATGCTGTAAATTAAAAAAAATTTTATTAAAAATATTTCAATAAACAGTTTTGCTTTGAGAAGGAGACAGTGTGAGTAGGGCAGGGGCAGAGAGAGAAGGAGGCACGGAATCCAAAGTAGGCTTCAGGCTCTGAGCTTGTCAGCACAGAGCCTGATGCAGGGCTGGAACCCACAAACTGTGAGATCACGACCTGAGTAGAAGTTGCACGCACCACCTACTGAGCCTCCCAGGAGCCCCTCAAATACCATGATTTTAATACGATTGCTTATTTGACATGGAATCTGAGCAAAGACTAATATGTCTTTGATCCCTTTTCCTGACCTATTCTCTAGTTCTGTGGACATCTTAGAATAACAGTACTGAACTGTAAAAAATTCACATATAAGCGAACTGTTGCAGCTCAAACCTGCATTGTCCAAGGGTCAACTGAATTTCCTTCCCTTACTTCCCCAGTTTGAACTTAACATTGAAATAATCTCTTTTGTTCAAAAAAGTATACACCTTTCCATATATATAATGTATATTTAAGTTTGTTTAGCTGCCTGATAAAATAGGCTTTAAAAAAAATTTTTTTTTAAATTTTTTTT